CTACTAATGGGTGTTTTTTTTTTTTCGGGTGGTTGTCTTTTTGTAGAAGAGAAAAGCGTTTTTGAAACTCCTTGTGACTTCACCAATGGCAGCTGGGTCCATGACAAGATGGGACCTTTGTACAATGGCACCACCTGTGTACCATTAAGGAAGGTCAAACTGCATCGCTCATGGAAGACCTGACTGGGTTACCTCTACTGGAGATGGAAACCAAATCAATGCAAGCTCCCGAGGTTTGATCCCCACACTTTTTCTCAACTTCAGTCACAAACATTTAGCATTTGTTGGTGACTCAGGCTAGGAACCAACTTGAGTCCCTTCTTTGTATGCTGTCCACGGTCTCTGTCCCTAATCTTGTTTATCGAGATGGTGAAGATAATAAATTTAGAAGATGGCATTTTGCTTCTCATAATGTCAGTATTCTGTTTATTGGTCACCGTTTTTAGTAAAGGAATTGAGAAATCTAAATCTTATAATCTCAACAAATGTATGTGGATTATGTGGATGAGAGGTGGGCGGCGGATTTGGATCAAATAGACATGATTGTTTTATCTTTTGGGCATTGGTTTTTACACTTGCTGTGTTTTTGAGGAGATTCTGTATTGGGTTGCCATTATTGTCTGGACTTAATCACACTGAGTTGGATTCTATGATGTTTTGAGAAAGGCCTTAAAGACTACCCTCAAACAAATAACCGAAAGAACAGGGTCTAATGGTGATGTTAAAGATGTGATTTTGACCACATTTGCTCCATCACATTTTGAAGGTGATTGGGATAAGGCAGGTGCTTGTCCTAAGACGAAGCCTTATAATGGGGCGAAATATTCCTTGAAGGAATGGATGCTGATATGAGAAATACTGAGGTTGAACAAGTGGAGGAAGCCAAGGGAAATGCTAGCAATTTAAGGGGTTGAGGCTAGAGGCATTGTGATGTCACCGACTATCATTGATGAGAACAGATGGTCATCCGGGTCCTTACATGCATCCGAATCCATTGCTAATGGGATTCAGGAGCACGTACAGACGATTGTGTTCATTGGTGTTACCAGGGCCTATAGATACTTGGAATCAAATAAGTTAGAGGTTATAAGGAGATGGGAGGGTCAGTCAAGAAGAGAAGAATGAGATACGGCAGTAGAAAAATATTGGGTTTGTTTCTCTTTGATGTTTTTCTCTGATTTATCTAACTTGATAGATAATTGAAACAAATGAGGAGATAAAGTGATTGGAGTGGTTACATTCTGTAGGGGGTCTTCTCTAATTTGAAAGAATTGGAGATGGGGAAAGAGTGATAATGAGAGAGGGTTGGGGCAGCAAGTTACAAAGATGATATACTTGTGGAAGATACTGCTGGTCTGTGAAAGAAATTGAAGGTCATTGGCGGTTTTTGTATTTGCTGGCCAGGTACATACTTGATGAATGTATACTTGAGATACTTGTTGGTTGTAAGTTTTTGTTGCATGAGATAAGCTTTTTAGTTTGGAATTTGATTTGAACTCCGATTTATATATGTTATGTTATCTTTCACCTAATATGAAAATTATGTAGAGTAAAATTTCTCGTTAGTATGATGGGATGCATTGTTTTTACCTTAACATACAGAGTGAAATGAATGAAAAATCTTCAAATGGAAGTTTTATTGTGATATTGCTATTAAAATATTACTATAAAACCACAAGCTCCTCTTTCTTCTTCCAATGTCAAACAAGATACCCAGTAAGAATCCAAAGAAACTTTATATAGCTTGTGCTTGAAGTGAAAAAGGTAAAATTAGAGTGGCTGTTGTATTAGTGGTTAGCTACATCCCTGTCTGGGACTGGAGGAATGTGTATTTGAGGAGAGAGTAAGGGAGAGAGAGAGAGTTGGTGATAATGGAGGTGTGTGGTAGAAGAGCTGAATTGCCTTTAGTCCTTTACTAGTAACTGTGAGTATAATTTTATTCAAGTTAGGAATATGGAGCATCAAGCAGCCAATGTCAAGGGGACTAACAAATACATGGTTATTGTGTATTTTCAGATTCTCATATTTCACAGGTCGTGTTATCTTTCCATATTTCAAATGGATCTTTTATAAGATCAAAGACACTTTATAATTGCATAGTATGTCTTGAAGAGACGGTCAGGCAACTTGAAAAAATTGGTATAATTACAAGTTGGCTTTTGTATAGAGAAAGAGAATCAATTGTTTTTCCTTTGAATACTAAGAAAAGTGGATTTAACCTTACTGAAACTCATGTTGAGGCCCAATTAAATTAATACAGGATTTAAATACCCAAAGGATATGATTATAAAATACAGTGACAATAATTTCTGCTCACTAGATAGTAATACCTCTCATTTTGTGGTTAGATGACAAACCCTTTAACCACTAAGGTTAGTTATATTTAAGAGTTTTGTGTTCGAGTCAAACATTTAACCATTGAAGTTAGTATACCTTGAGGTTTTGTATTCGAGTTGTAGGAAAGGTATCTATCACATTTGTGCAATTACTTTAGGTTATTGGGCTTATAAAGTTTTGCGGCCCTAAGAATTAGGTAGGCTCTAATGGGGGTCTGGATACCTCATATATCTAAAAAAAATACCCTTTAAGTCTATAACTGAATGGTCATTTACAAGGGGCTTGGGTTTGGTAAATGGGTTTTGGTGGATGTGGGTTCGGCGCTGGGGGCATTTGTAGAGTTAATAGGAACCCTGAAAAATGCTGAAATGACATGATTAGTGTCAAGGGAAAATGATAGTACTTTGCATTGGTTGATAGTAATTTTATGCTGAAATGACATGATTAGTGTCAAGGGAAAATGATAGTACTTTGCATTGGTTGATAGTAATTTTATATATATATATATATATATATATATATTATATTTGGGTAAACGGGGTGTCTGCCCAATTTGCATGGTAAATTAATCTGTATGGTCTATTGAACATGGTACAAACCTAAATTACAGTATAAATCATAATGTTATTATGGTCCTAAGGTTTAAACCCAATAATTGTTATAGGTGGCTCCAAAGTTTGAACCTAGTAACTCAAGAAATGAAGTAAACCTCTTTGACTATCAGACCAATCTCTTAGGATTTATAATATTGAAGTTATAATGTAGCTATAAGTGATTTAAAATTGATAGATTTAGGTAGTTAAGTAAGAGGGAGCAAAAACATATTAAATTAACTATCTGTAACCAGTTGAGTAGTTTGATAAGGACTCTTGAGTGTATTACTCAATAAATTATGAGTTCAAGTTCCTCTTCAGTTGTTAAGAGGGATAGTCTATAGAACTCTTATCAGATTAATAGTTTCAAAGTCACAGGAGATTAGCTGATGGACACGTAAGCTAGTAATTGATAATTAAATTCTGTATAATTAATTAAAAATATGTATAAATTGGTTCAACACTTCCGGTATTTGTTTTTAAAAAAAAAACAAATTAAATTGAGAGAGACGATAAAAGACAAGGTGTTGCCTTGGATCCGAAAAGTAACGCATGTGGGAATCATTTAAAATTATAGTTATAGGAAAGGGGTTTGCGTAGGTGAATTGTTGTGTGGTTATGAGTGAGCATGGTCCCCAGCTGGCAGTGGCACCATCATTTGTTATTATAAATGAGAGGTGAGCTGGTTACCACTCTTTTTTCTGGAATTTGACGTATATTGCATCAGTACCTAGATTCTTATTTCCAGCTCTTAAACCTTCATATCTTAAAATATGAATTATAAATTAACATAAGATGGTTGGTAGGTTTTGATTTAGATCAATCTAAATAATTCAACTCCAGACTATATAGTGTTTGATTTTTTCTTTCTTCCTGTAGTCTTTACTCTTATTGTATTATTTCATGCTTTGAATTATAATAATAATAATTAATTGAGTAATTAAGATGTATGACCGGCGAAAGCTCCTTCCCACCCTCTTCCACTTGTTATTTGAAAATACAAAATTATGTAATAATTTATTGGACAAAAATAATCACATTTTTAAAATTTGAATGCTTTATATAGCCAAATAAACTATTGTACCTTTCTAACATGTGACTTAGATTAGACATGGGGTAACATGTCACTTATTGTTAATTAAACAATTTATATGTGGGTCTACTCCATTAGTGGTTTGCAATAATATTGCTAAATTGTTTTTCAATTAATTGTCTATTTGTTACGTCTCATTCATTAGAAAAATAATTAAATTAATTTTGCTAAGTAGAAAATTGATAGCCACACAAAATAAAGATAACATTTTGTGGTTAGTTATCTTTAAGGTATAGGTCAGATGCGATGGCCATCCACGCTCCATCAATTACTTTGAAACAAACAACAAAAATAGGTGGTGATTTATTGTATTATTGTTAAGGGTAATTAATGGGTGATAAAAGTTGATACTTCTTGTCACTTTCGTACAATGTGATGCCTTCACAAGTCACAACCCAATGTGTCTGCTTTCTCAGTTTCTCTACGTACGTACTAAATAATTTTTTTTTAAAACAGGACGTCTGATTTCTGCGAAAACTTAACTTAACTAATCTTTAAAATCAATTAAATATCTTACGAACCTAATAAATTAAATAAAACCTAACTATATATTAAAATAAGTGATTCAAGATTTAAACCTAAAAAATAAAAAAAAAGAATACATATTTAATCACTTGATCAATCCCTTGAGATTGTACTAAATAATTCACTAATACAATCTGCATAAGTTATGGGTAAACCCAGATTTGTTTAGAGAAAGTTTTTATTTAATCATATCATAATAAAAAATCAAAGTTTAGTGTCCAAAATACTGAATTTACAAACTTTATAACCTGTAAAGCAAATGATAGTATAATTTATACATCAATGATGTTAGACTTACAATAAATTTACATACGAACTGTGAGCATGTTCAAAAGGATGGGCTACATCCGTACAAGAGAAAAAGGGCAAAAGCATAATAAAGTATAATCAGTGAAGCAACAACTTATGATTTGTTTAACGTAATTAGTTGGCCAAACCAAGCCACATGGCACATACATAATGGGATTCCGGATTTCACTGTTGACTCTTTTATCATCCTACTTCCTACCCTCTCACTCTCTGTCTCTCTGTCTCTCTCTACTTCTGCCAACTCAAGAAATCCACTCTCTCCGTCTCCCTCTAATTCTGCCAACTCTAGAAACCACAGTACTTGTAACTCTTCACTTTTCCTGCCCTAGAATTTAGAGTTTCTGGTTATCCACCACACACTTCAAAGGGGAAGAAGAACAAGTAGCCGAAGAAAATTCACTGACAAACCAATGGGCAAAGATCAACCATCTTATTCTTTCACCAAGAAGTTCTTACCTTGGTCCTTTTATTGCATTATCCCTATTGCCATCTTTCGTTTATACTTTTACCCTCTTCACTTAGTTCCCCAATCTACCACTGATCAGCTCCCCAACACTCAACACACTGTCATCACCTTTTCTTCTTCTTCTTCTTCTATCAATCGAGGTACGTATTCATTGACACGATATTTGTCCTTTTCTTGCATGTTTACTTGTTTTGGAGTGATGGATTCTCTGTTTTGCTACTAATGGGTGTTTTTTTTTTTTTGTCGGTGTGTTGTCTTTTTGTAGAAGAGAAAAGAGTTTTTGAAACTCCTTGTGACTTCACCAATGGCAGCTGGGTCCATGACAAGATGGGACCTTTGTACAATGGCACCGCCTGTGCTACCATTAAGGAAGGTCAAAACTGCATCGCTCATGGAAGACCTGACCTGGGTTACCTCTACTGGAGATGGAAACCAAATCAATGCAAGCTCCCGAGGTTTGATCCCCACACTTTTCTTCAACTTCTTAGTCACAAACATTTAGCATTTGTTGGTGACTCAGTGGCTAGGAACCAACTTGAGTCCCTTCTTTGTATGCTTTCCACGGTCTCTGTCCCTAATCTTGTTTATCGAGATGGTGAAGATAATAAATTTAGAAGATGGCATTTTGCTTCTCATAATGTCAGTATTTCTGTTTATTGGTCACCGTTTTTAGTTAAAGGAATTGAGAAATCTAAATCTGATAATCTTAACAAATTGTATGTGGATTATGTGGATGAGAGGTGGGCGGCGGATTTGGATCAAATAGACATGATTGTTTTATCTTTTGGGCATTGGTTTTTACATCCTGCTGTGTATTTTGAGGGAGATTCTGTATTGGGTTGCCATTATTGTCCTGGACTTAATCACACTGAGATTGGATTCTATGATGTTTTGAGAAAGGCCTTAAAGACTACCCTCAAAACAATAACTGAAAGAACAGGGTCTAATGGTAATGTTAAAGATGTGATTTTGACCACATTTGCTCCATCACATTTTGAAGGTGATTGGGATAAGGCAGGTGCTTGTCCTAAGACGAAGCCTTATAAGGAGGGCGAAATATTCCTTGAAGGAATGGATGCTGATATGAGAAATATTGAGGTTGAACAAGTGGAGGAAGCCAAGGGAAATGCTAAGCAATTTAAGGGGTTGAGGCTAGAGGCATTGGATGTCACCCGACTATCATTGATGAGACCAGATGGTCATCCGGGTCCTTACATGCATCCGAATCCATTTGCTAATGGGATTCAAGAGCATGTACAGAATGATTGTGTTCATTGGTGTTTACCAGGGCCTATAGATACTTGGAATCAAATAATGTTAGAGGTTATAAGGAGATGGGAGGGTCAGTCAAGAAGAGAAGAATGAGATACGGCAGTAGAAAAATATTGGGTTTGTTTCTCTTTGATGTTTTTCTCTGATTTATCTAACTTGATAGATAATTGAAACAAATGAGGAGATAAAGTGATTGGGAGTGGTTACATTTCTGTAGGGGGTCTTCTCTAATTTGAAAGAATTGGAAGACGGGAAAAGAGTGATAATGGAAGAGAGGGTTGGGGCAGCAAAGTTACAAAGATGATATACTTGTGGAAGATACATGCTGGTCTGTGAAAGAAATTGAAGGTCATTGGCAGTTTTTGTTGATTTGCTGGCCAGGTTCACATACTTGATGAATGTATACATTGAGATACTTGTTTGGTTGTAAGTTTTTGTTGCATGAGATTTAAGCTTTTTAGTTTGGAATTTGATTTGAACTCCGATTTATATATGTTATGTTATCTTTCACCTAATATGAAAATTATGTAGAGTAAAATTTCTCGTTAGTATGATGGGATGCATTGTTTTTACCTTAACATACAGAGTGAAATGAATTGATAAAATCTTCAAATGGAAGTTTTATTGTGATATTAGCTATTAAAATATTACTATAAAACCACAAGCTCCTCTTTCTTTCTTCAAATGTCAAACAAGATACCCTGTAAGAATCCAAAGAAACTTTATATAGCTTGTGCTTGAAGTGAAAAATGGTAAAATTAGAGTGGCTGTTGTATTAGTGGTTAGCTACATCCATGTCTGGGACTGGAGGAATGTGTATTTGAGGAAGAGAGTAAGGGAGAGAGAGAGAGTTGGTGATAATGGAGGTGTGTGGTAGAAGAGCTGAATTGCCTTTAGTCCTTTACTAGTAACTGTGAGTATAATTTTTATTCAAGTTAGGAATATGGAAGTCATCAAAGCAGCAATGTCTAAGGGGACTAACAAATACATGGTTATTGTTTATTTTCAGATTCTCATATTTCACAGGTCTTGTTTATCTTTCCATATTTCAAATGGATCTTTTATCTAAGAATCCAAAGACACTTTATAATTGCATAGTATGTCTTTGAAGAGACGGTCAGGCAACTTGAAAAAATTGGTATAATTACAAGTTGGCTTTTGTATAGAGAAAGAGAATCAATTGTTTTTTCTTTTGAATACTAAGAAAAAGTGGATTTAACCTTACTGAAACTCATGTTGAGGCCCAATTAAATTAATAACAGGATTATAAATACCCAAAGGAAATATGATTATAAATACAGTGACAATAATTTCTGCTCACTATGATAGTAATACCTCTCATTTTGTGGTTAGATGACAAACCCTTTAACCACTAAGGTTAGTTATATTTAAGAGTTTTGTGTTCGAGTCAAACATTTAACCATTGAAGTTAGTTATACCTTAGAGGTTTTGTATTCGAGTTGTAGGAAAGGTATCTATCACATTTGTGCAATTACTTTAGGTTATTGGGCTTATAAAGTTTTGCGGCCCTAAGAATTAGGTAGGCTCTAATGGGGGTCTGGATACCTCATATATCTTAAAAAAAATACCCTTTAAGTCTATAACTGAATGGTCATTTACAAGGTTTAAATGATTTTATATTGAGTAAACGACTTTTTCACACCCAAATAATGGTTTAATGACATTTTTCCACTCACAGGCTTTTAAAATATCACTTTTTCACCCATAGGTTTTTAAAATACTACTTTTTCGTAAAAAAAAAAACCATTGACTACGGCAATCGCCAGTCGATTTTGGCATCGTTGTGACTTCATACCATCACCATTCTCTTTCGCGATCATCACTCACCAAAACCCTTCAAACCTTATTTTTATCGGCCTCGTCAATCGTAGGCAATCGAGCGATTGGGTTTGTATGACCGCCTTTCACAAATCAAATTCCAACCAATTACGACTATCAAAATTTAACATTTTACCATAAAAAAACTCACCGACCTTCCCTAAAAAGCCTCAATAGTATGGACCAATTTTGCTCTCCATTCATCGCTGAATTGAAAAATATATATATTTTTTTATGGGAAAGTGATATTTTAAAAGTCCATGTATGAAAAAGTGTCATTAAACTATTATTTGGGTAGGAAAAAGTCATTAAGTCTTTTATATTATATATACAGTAAAACCTCTCTATAGTCGTAATGTTTGGACCTTTTAAATTTATTACTATAAGAAAGATATAATTTAATAGAGGTGTAGATACGATCATTATTCTTTTGATTTCTTATTTTATAAATCGTGTTTTAATAGTATTAGGATTTCAATTCATTGTTTTAGTTGTATCAGGTTAGTACAGAAATGGATATCAAAAAGTCATTGTAAAATTAAGTGATCATATTTGACAACTTCACTACACTAATCAAATTGATATTAATGTTTTTCTCAATTATCTAAATGAGCAACAAGTCGTGTATGTTTTAATTGAAGAATAAATCATTACTTGAATTAGACAAGAAGAGGAAGAAGATAATCCTGAGGATGATAGTACAAAAATGCCAAAAATTTCATGCCAAGAAGCTCTAAACATGTTTGAGAGCTAAAAATATTTTGGTTTCAATAAGAAGATGTCCATGCTGACGGCTTATTACGTACCTGTAAGATAAAAAATATAGTAACAACTTTAAAGCGTAAGTCATTGTCTCAAACAACTTTAAATAAATATTTTATTTCATCTTAAATTTTTAATGTAACATAGTATATATTATTTACAATATACATATAATTATTACTATGTAGAGACATGTTCCTTAAGACGAAACCTAAAAAAATTATAACTTATTATAATGTGAAATTTATTCTTATTTATAATTTATCCAAATTGAGACAAAAGTTTTTTATGACTACATGGAGGTTATTCCTACCTATATAGAGGTTCTATTGTACTTTTAAAACATAAGCCTACTTCTACCAATTTTTGCAATAAATTATAAAATTAGTAATTATTATTAATTAATTTAAAATAAAAATGGAATGAGTAATAATAGGAAGATTATGTAGACATAATTTTAAACTCTTGGTAAAAATAAAATTATTTATTTAAAATCTATCAATTAAACAGCTTCAAAATTTTAAGTCTGTTTTGAAAAATAAAAGTTGAAAATAAAACGGCGCCGTATGAATCTTTATGACCTGCAAAACAACGTCGTTTATGGCAGTGAATGACTGAATGTAGAATTCTTTCTCATTATCAACTTCAACACCAGCGCACTCATCTCCTTAAGTGTACTTGATATGGCTGCAGCAACTCTCTCTTTCTCTCTCTCTTTAGATCCCCAACACCATCACCATCACCACCACAAAACAACACTATCTCTCTTTACTCTTTCACCTTTCTTAATCCCCACTAAGCACTCTCTTTTGTCCCTCAACAAATCCCCTCATTACCTCTTCAGATCTTTTGTCTCTTCCACTCACTCTTCCTCTTCTTCAAACGCTGTCACCACCACCTCTTCGTTTCTTGAAGATTCTTTTCGAACCGGAAGGTTTTTAACCAATGAAGAGATTGAAAAGCTCAAGAACCTTGAAAATTTTGTACATTTTCAAGAATTGAAATCTGGGTTTTTGTGGGTTCGTGTGATGAGGCCTGAAGAGATGGATTCCACTGTGGGTTTGTTAGCTGAGTCGTTTGCTGAGTCAATGTTGCTACCTTCGGGGTATGAGAAGTTGCTGAGGTTCTTGGTGAAGCAGTATTTGATTGAGAGAAGAGGTGTGATGCCTCATGCCGTTACACTTATTGGGTTTTATAGAGGAAAGGAAGAAGGGGAGAGTGGTAAAGAAGTGGAATTGGCTGGTACTGTGGAGGTTTGTTTTGATAAAAGGGGTGCTAATGCTTCACCTCCTTCGCCTACTCCTCCCAAAAATTCGCCTTATATTTGTAACATGACTGTCAAAAAGCCGCTTCGAAGGTACTTATTAACTTATGTTGTTTGCTTTTGTAACTTCAGTCTCAAGTTACGATTTTCACTTTAATGTAATTTTATTTGTCTTTGCTAACTTGAATACTTGCACTGTTGAAGTGGTGTAACATTTGTTGAATGCTATTAGGATCAGTCAGACATTTTCCAAAGAAAAATAATTTGTTTAGTTATCTGTTTGTAACAGATGTCTGGAGTTGTTCTTGAGTGATGGTATGTATCTAGGTTGTTTGTGGCAACTCTAGGAAATTTCACAGTAACACCGTGAAATGAGTTAGCTTGCACTTCAGTGAACTGTTTCATGTGTTTACTCTGTGGAAATTTTAGATCTTTATGCTATAATTGAATTTGGGGATTTAAGTTTGAGTTGAAACAGTGTCGACTCCTTGTGACATAAGTAATGAAATTAGATATGTCACGCAATCTCATAATGAAGAATGATAAGATATCTATGCAAGTGGATCTGTGGGTGAGATCTTACTTTTATAGTTTGCATCTGAATTTTGTCTCGGAAGGATTTAAGTGCACAATGTGTTGATGAGATATAACAAATTTAAAGCTTGTATTAGGATCATATGCATAATTTGGGTAATTCTTGATTGTTCTTTTTTCTGGAGTATCTATTCAGTCCTGTCTGTCTAGGGTGTTGTATTTGTGCAAAAATATATGGGGGCCATTTAGTTGAACATTAAAAAATTTTAGGATTAGTTTAACTGGAAAACAGTGTCTCCTGGTCTCTGGTGATATTCTTGAAGGAGTAGTTTAACCATTCTGTACACATCAAACTTCTTGCTCTATGCATTATACACATCAAACTTCTTGGTCTATGCATTATGGTGAGCATAATGACATTTGTCATGGTTTCTCCTTGATCATCATTGAATGTGTTTCATTTTACTTGGCAGCCTTAAGATTTTCATGTCATGCTTACTTTTTCACAAGGCTACTATTCTAGTCAATCCCATAGCATTTCTGCACGCTGGATTAGGAAGACTGGATATATAAGTATGTTTTTGGAACTTTCAGGAAGGGTATTGGTTGGCATCTTCTGAAGGCGAGTGAAGAACTAATATCTCAGATGAGTTCCTTTAAAGAGGTGTATTTGCACTGCAGAATGATTGATGCAGCCCCATTTAACATGTATAGAAAAGCAGGATATAACATCATTAAAACAGATAGTATCTTAATATTGTTGATGCTGCAGAGGCGTAAGCACTTGATGTGCAAGAAGCTTCCTGTTGTTGACAGTCCCTCAAAATCAGATATGTCTGGCTCTGATGAGGAACTTTTTTCGTAAATGGATGTGTGGAAGTTGCAGCATAATTCTCTGAGGTATATGCAGTTTCTGCAATATGTTTCTCTTCACCAGTAAAACTCATATTCTGCTGCAAGTGTTCTAGTTCTCTCTCTTTCACAGATACCAGACAGAGGCAGATGTTTGTGTAAATCACTTTTGTACATTATCCAAATTGTAGGCTATATTTTTCTCTCTAACCTTTTCTTTGATTATTTGGTTGTCCATTTGACTCTTTTGTAATTTCTATTCCATTGTGTTTTATTTTTTTTCAGGTTGGGATTCTCCAGGTCCTGGACATGGTCCAATCAGGTTGTGAATTGTGATGATCTTCAATCGGGTTGGTTCCTGGATGAGGAAGTCAATCAGATTACTGGCCTTGTTTGTATGTATCATGTATGGTAGAAACCTGTTTTGCTACAGGTAATTGCACAAACTTCTGGGCTATTGCCTTTTGTTTTCTCTCTAGTTTTGCTACATGAGATACAAGTTGTATATTTTGTGTCTGAACTCGGAAAATAAGAAACAATAATTTGTTGATCCTCTAAAGTTGGCGGTAAACTCAATGTAAGGATCTGATTGCATTATAGCTTTATTTTAAGTACATAATACATATCCCATGTCTTTGAACAGTATATAATTCATAGAAACAGCTGTTAACAAGATGATGATGCTGGATCACAACCAGATTTGCCAGAAAATGTCCCTTCCGAACTTAGATACTCAATTATTACCTTGTCACTTTTCCAGATTTTTCTTTTTCAGTTATACCGTAAAACATTCAACTTTATCTTTAAATTTCTTCTATAGTAACTGACAAAAACTCAAGTTCTTCTTTTCTGGGACCTATATCAAATTATTATGTTGTGGTACTGTTACGTCCCTTGGCTTCCAGGGTTTAAGAATCCAATCAATGAAAACAGAGGATGTTTATTCTATAGAATTACATGCTGCTGAAGAAACATTTTGGTTTTTTAGACCATTCTGAATGCATGCATAGGCGTTCCCAATCCTTTTGAATTTGTATAGATAATCAGTTGGAGTTCTTTTACACATTCTGTCATTGAGGGTCTCTCATTGCTCTCAGTACGGACGCAGCGTGATGCCAGGTTTGCAAACATGGCTATAGATTCTATGGTGTATGAACTTCGATTAAGCTCTGGATCTATCACCTTACGCAACTTCTTTCGATCATTCAATATGTGCCTCACCTGAAACAAGAACCACCCTTTTACTATTCCATTCATTTTCAAAAGCTAGTACTTTGGTTTGCCTGAAATTCAAGAACCAGAACCATTAGGAATGATGAGACTGTTTTCCTACCTGTAATACAAGGTTTTGATCACTTGGCCCCTGGTTTATGTCGACTGCTCTGCGTCCAGTCAAAAGTTCTAAAAGAACCACTCCAAATGCATAAACATCACTTTGTAAAGTGAGTTTCCCCGTCTGTCACCAAGGGAGAGAATTCCATAATTCAGACCTTCTACCTGATATAATTAAGTGCACCAAATTCTATACTATTTAAGATGATTGTTTTAAGTGGACCAGAACTTCTGCATTTGTTAACAAATTTATTCAAGTGAATACCACACATATTTAGTTGTAACTCTAAAATGTTAGCAAAATAAATCATTTTGTTCACTTCAGGTAGCTTGAATCTGGTAGCTGAGAATTGCTTCATTGTATTTAGGGCATGCATGAAGTGTTACATTTTTTGGCTTCATTTGGAATATTAATATCTAAGATCTTCAGAATAGCCAACTAGCAAGTCTCTGTGATTTGGTAAATAAGGGTCATTGAAGTTATAAGATTGCTAAGTCATATTTATGCACAGTGTTCTATTGAGGAACTTGAATATATTCGTACAGAAGATGTTTAATGACATGTAGATGCATATGAACTTGAAAATAGCAACCTTAGCAACCTTAGTCTGTTATATACTATGGGAACTTAGAAGTTAAATGTTAGGTCATACTTTCATGACTACATATTTTTGTTCCAACCGAGCAGTTTTTCTTCCTTTTTATGACCTGGCTGGCTGCCATAATATAGATTCTATCTGTGTACTTAGATGACCGCTTGCATCACATGAAGATAATTTAGATGCCCAAGTGAAATTCCTTATTCATAATTTTCAGTTTCTCTTTTTGACCTTGAGTTCCATGAAGTATAAACAGTGAGAACTTGGGAATGCATGAGATTTTATACAGATAAAATGGAGAAGAAGTTCTGAAAATATATTGTTGAATGCTGTCAAGCATGCAAAAATATCAGAAAAATAGTAATTTTTAGCACAGAATTGCATACCGATGTATACTCAGGATCAAAGTAGCCAAAGGTGCCCAGAACTCTAGCAGTCACGTAAGTCTCCTGACCTTCTGGCATCAACTTGGCCAGGCCAAAGTCAGATATCTATGAACACTAGCAATTTGATTAGCAATTTGAGTTTGAGTAACTGGTACTTTTCAATTTAATTTTATCTAACTCCATCTCTCTTACCTTTGCTTCAAAGTTGGCACTTAGTAGCACATTGGTGGATTTGAAATCTCTGTGAACAATCGGAATCCCAACAGCAGAGCTTGAATGAAGATAAGCAAGGCCCCTAGCTGCCCCAAGTGCCACTTTGAGTCTTGAAGGCCAGTCCATTTTTGCTTCCCCAATTCCTAGCATCAAATTGCATGTCATTAGATGTCATGCATAATGAACATTTTTATGGAAACAGGGTTTGTTACAGAACCAACCATTTAAGTGATCTTGCAGGTTCCCTTTTTGCATGTACTCGTATACCAGAAAGCGGTGTTTGCCATCAGCACAGTACCCTATCAAGGAAACCAGATTTGGATGGTCAAGTCTGCTTAAGATATCAACTTCAACCCGGAACTCTTGTTCCCCATCAGCTGCTTTAAATGGCGGCAACTCCATTTTCTTGATTGCAACAACCTTCAGATTTTAGAAGAGAAACAAATTATGAGTCAACTACTCTTTGCTTGCTACTTACCTAATAATATCAGCATTTAATCAATTAAATTACTTGGTTCACGATTTTTCAAGTTTAACTTGAAACAATCATGGTGTGAGATTACAGTGTACTTTGATAACAACGTTTACCTCTCCTGACCGCAAAGTGCCCCTGTAAACTCGGCCAAATCCTCCTTTCCCAAGAAAATTTTCATCGCTGAAAGAGCACGTTGCCTCTTCCATTTCCCTGAGCGTAAAAACGGATGATCCCCGGTGTCTTTTCGGAGTTTGGGTTGTTTGATTTTCGAGCTGCCAATACTCTGCAGGTCTGTAAATCCCTGAAAGATATGTAGCTAGTGTCTAAATAGTGAAAAATCCCTCCAATTTTTTTAAAAAATATGGTTTAATTGAATGAATGCACTTCTAGACCGATCCCAATAAAAAACTTACACGGGTCTGTGTGATCTTGGGACTTGCTTCTTCTGCGCTTGTTCCATGCTGAGACCAACCCGAATGGCATAATTGCTATTTTGTGAATGGATTACTTGTCTATTTAACAATTGCAGTGACAGATTTTATTACACGAAACAGACAATTGGATGGAGAAGTTCCATAACATTCCCAGAAGTAGAAGAAGCAACAATGTCACCGGCTCTCTGGAGTCTCAGCAGAGATTAAATTAGAATATCTAATTTAGCGAGCACAAAACTGGCACACAAAGAAAAGTTGGAAGAAAATAGAAAGGATTATCGTATGAGAAAGCTCTGAAGAGTAGTACGTATAGAGGAAGAGTGAGGTTGGAAAATACTCAACCACATTTTCCAACAACCATAAGTTACAAAGAGATGTACTTGAAGAAAAAGAAAAGGCAAATAAAGGTAAAGTTGGTATTGCTTGCTTACCTCTCGATGAGTATTTTTTGGGGTTTGTTTCTTTGATAACGATATGGAAACTGCAATATCTAACTTCATTTTTACCACCTTCCTTAAGCTTTTTGTGAAGGAAGAAATGTAGCCGTTGAAGGGCTGCTTTCATATTCCATTTTTTTTAAGTTGTGTCTGTATGGTGAAGTTTATCATTCTAAAAATCATTATTATCGCCTTCTAAAGATGACAAAGTAGGAAAAATCGGATTTCGTTTCTGTTCATGTAGGTCCTAAGATACCGATATTTCATTTTTAAGCCATTGCTCACCTAACATGATTTCATATATTGGGAGCTTAAACACTTTCTTCAAATCAATCTGCCTTTTCAAACTAAATAAACACTCCTTTCTGGGGCCATTCCTTTTCAAGTATAATGGGCTCCTTTTCCTTTGTCTTCAAGTACTTCACGTTGTGTGATTTAAATTTCTATGTACAGTTGTTGGTCCTACTCCTGATGTATCAGATATCAAACAAGGGTGATAATTTGTTTTATTTGCAATCTCAATAACATATTTCAATTTTTGAAAACCAAGGATCCAATGAATATTCAGAAAACCTCGGCTTCGTTTGGTTCAAGATTGGGAATACTACTCTTAGTATTCCCAAAAAAGTTAAATAGTAAAATACCCAAAAACTCTCATTTTTGGGAATACTATTTTCAATATTATTCAATTTTTTTAAACCCTCTAAATTTGTTAATTTAATTAAATACCCCTAAATATTTTTTTTAAAATTACAAAAACACCCCAATAATCCACATTTACCAGATTCCGGCCACCACCGTCGGAAAATGGTCGGAATCTGGTAGGATGGCGCACTACCGGCTGAATCTGGCCGGTAGTGCGCCGATCTAGCCTTTTCCGGCCAGATCCACGGTGGATCTGGCCGGAAAAGGCTAGATCTAAGGCCAAAGATCTGGTCGTTGATGGCCAGATCTTTGGCCGTAACAGTCGGTCACGACGGCCAAACAAACGGTCGTTGTTGACCATAAACGACGACCGTTTGTTGGCCGTCGTTGAGAGCAAATACGACCAGATTTGGCGGTTGACGGCCAGATCTGGCCGTAGATCTGGCCTTTGCCGGCCAGATCCACCGTGGATCTGGCCGGAAAAGGCCATATCGGCGCATGACCGGCAAAATCCAGTCGGTCATGCGCCCATAAGACGATTCCAGCCACCCGGTGGTGTGGCCGACTGGGGGTTTTGAGGGTGGTTAGGGGTATTTTTGTTAACTTTTAATGTTTTATTATAGGGGGTATTTTGTAAAAAAACAAATATATGGGATATTTATAATTTATAAATTCTACATCGTAATATCCGCCCAATTTAACTTTTTTAACTTTTTTCAAAAAACTTTTCCTAAAACCCCCAAATTTTGAACCAAACGGGGCCCTCATGTTTGACAAGTATTTAAAAGATGAAAATGTAACACTTTGTTTTTTATTTTTGAATTTTTTCTCTTTTTTTTTGGATGAATAGTGTTCAGACTATCTTACAGCACCTTAACTAATTCTTTAGGACTTGGAACTATTATCGGTAAGATCCAGTGGCTATCCCTATTAGCAATCGAGAGAAACTCGAATTCGGACCTCTTGAGCAATATACCCAAGAGTCCTTATCGAACCACTCAATCACCAGAGATAATTAGTTTCTGTAAAATTTAATGTAACTGCATTTCAAAATTCTAATCTGTTTAAAGTTATTTCTTAATCCCGAATCAAACACTTCCTTAACATTCGATAGAGAGTTTTATCTGAAACGATTAATTGCTCAACAAGAGAAGTGAAAAGTACACGCAAAAGTTTGATTTTACTACTGTAGCAATTTATAATATTATTTTTTGTGAAAGTTTGTTAAACAAGAGATATATTCTAAAATACTAGGCTGTTGAGGTGAATACCTGCAGCTTGCCTAAAGCCAAACCAGATTTTGCCTTAACCATTGAGCAGGTTGCTCGCCTCACTTTCCCAACTTGTAAGTTTTGTCCTCATCTCCAGACTTAATTTTCACTAAAACCTATGTATTAGTACGAATTGCAAACTAGATGTCTTATTGAACGAACATAAGATATATTTTTTATGTCAAATATACATTTTTGTTTTTGCTTTTCATATATTTTAAAACACAAAATGATATCAGATTGCCCAAAGTCAACACAACTACAACTAGATGTCTTATGAACGAACATACAATATATTTTTAGTCATATGACATTTTTGTTTTTGATTTTCATATTTTTAAAACACAAAAATTGATATCAGATTGCCCCACTCAACACAACCGTTATAGTTTTTAAATGATTAATGTTAATTTATTACAACCAATCTTCAATGGTGAACTTGTCTGTGGGTGAATTGTGTTGTCAAAATATCACTTTAGTTTGTGATCTTAATTTTGTCTTTCCTCCCTGAACCCAGTTTTGATGTTTACTGAACTACAGTAATTTATTTTGACATATCAACTTATCAGAATTGTCAAAATCATGTGCCTAGTCCTCATCAGTTACCTTTATTTTCTGTTCAGGAAAACTTGGTTGATTTTGATTAGTGGAAATGTTTCAGAATTCGACTCCTCCCACCCCCCCCCCCCCCCCCCCCCCCCCCTCCCCCAACCAAAAAAAAACCATATTTATCAAGTTAATACTATCCTTCATACTGAAGAATAATTCTAAAAATGATATGAATTTGGAAAGCTCTTCTATTTGTCCAGGCTAATGCCAAGTTGGCCACAGTGTTTTTCTCTTGTATATAGTAGTATATTCAGTTCGTATTAAGTTTTGCAAGGACAATCTCACATGTAGATCTGAATGATTTAACTGTTGGTCTCACGTCTCACCTGCCGCACCGACACATTTATGAATGAAGATGGTACTGAAATTGCATATACAACCATTTCAATCAGTAATCTTGGCTTTGATTGCAGTTTGATTTGGCTCAGAATGAAATTTAAAACAGTAATAGCGGAATGAAACGCCTAGTGGTGGACAGATGGGTGATAAATGCATTTTCAATGGAATGTCAATAGTAACCGGTAAGGCAGTTGAGCGTAGTCTTTAGTAAATTTAATGCACTCAACTAAAAACCATTCCCTTCACTACTATATATACTTATGCCTATGGTGATCAGTTCTCAAGTGTCTACTTGTCTCTGAATTTTGCTCTATTTTCTACATCATATAACACGATGGCTACTGGTGGAAAGCTTGATGTTGAGATTGAGGTCAAATCTTCTGCTGATAAATTCTGGGGGGCTATCAGAGATTCCACCTCTCTCTTTCCCAAAGCCTTTTCTCACGATTACAAGAGCATTGAAGTTCTTGAGGGCGATGGCAAGGCCCCTGGCTCTGTTCGTCGCATAACATATGCTGAAGGTAAAATTTTCATGATTTTAATTAGCACATATCATATTAGAAGAAACATAATTGTCAATGTAGTTTGTTGTAATTAATTCTTGGTGGTTTGCATTTTAGGTTCTCCTATTGTTAAGGTATCGACCGAAAAGATCGAAGCTGTAGATGATGTGAAGAAGGAGGTTTCTTACCGTGTGATTAATGGGGATCTCTTGAAGTACTATAAGGTTTTCAAGGGCATCGTAGCTGTAAGTCCAAAGGGAGATGGGAGCTTGGTGAAATGGTCATGTGAGTATGAAAAGGCAAGCAATGAGATTCCTGATCCAAGCGTCATCAAGGAATTTGCTGTCAAGAACTTCAAAGAAGTGGATGAGTACATTGCCAAAACATAAGATGCAATCTGCCTACAGGAAGGTTGCGTTTTGCCCTCATAAATAATGTGGAGTCTCTCTCTTTCCACAATATGATACTAGTTTCAATCTTTCTATGTGGTTTCTTAGTCTGCAATATGAGTTTCTACTCATTTATCAGTTAAATTATGTAATGGTTTGGTCAAGTTTATGCTACTCCCTACATTAAATTTGCTCTGTGTACTCCATGAGGCATATCATAGTGTCAAGTTACATAATCAGTTGTCCTTGAGATCATCAAAGATGTCTGATTATGGGCAAAGAAAGTTTCTTATTTCCCCAAAAGCTGAAATTTGGTGAGATGCCATAAAAAGTACATTAATACATTGGTCACTCAGCTATCACATAATTAAATCCTCGGGCCATTCCACCTCTTCTCAATTAACTTCTGACGCAAAACTTGACGGTCTTCAATGCCAACAGAATCACTCCCTGGCCATTCAGTCTATCAATTATCAATTCGATGCTTATATATAGTTAGTTGCAGTGCAGTAAATAAAATAGTTATCCAGTTATAATAGAAATTAACATTATTTCTGACCGGAAGTCTCAAGATGTGCAATAGTGATCTTGATGCTAAGATTTGCACCACCGAGAAATACGTAGATTCTTTGATGAAGTCATGCAAGGGATTGTTTGGAATCTGTGATATGATGCCGAATCAATAAATCAATCAAAAAACACAAATAACAAGAGATTTTTAAAATGGTTTGGATGTTGGATGCAAACCTTACGTCCACTGTTTTTTGTATTGCTTTGTTTGTTTGTTTTTCATTTTCAAGTACAAATGCGGCTTGATAAAGACCTCTAATTTAGGTAAAAAATAAGTTTATATATTATTACAATGACAAACTTGTAAATAAAATTAATCCTAAATTGAATGACACGTGACGTGAATCCGTGTTTCAGGGATTGACTGCACAACAAGTGATAATAGTAATTAGTAGATAAAAGAAAACAAAAAAAAATTGAACAGAACGTTAAAACACAGAGATGAACTTTATAAAATGGAAGGATCTTGCACTAAAAAAAAAAAAAATTACAGTCCTTCTCATTCATTTCTCTCACCCATCACAGCCTTATAAACATGTACATACAAAAATCTGCAACACGCCCAGTTTTCCCAATTTACAAATATCCACAGCACACTCCAGTTTCCTCTCTTTTTTATCAAACAGAATACATTTTTGTTTTGTCGGTATCTTCACCCAGCCATTAAGAAACTGCAAAACAAATGGATAATGAATCTTAGATTTATAAGTGTATTTGAGGACCCAGAAGAACTTTTCCATACACCGTCTGTTAGAATCATTATCTTCAGGGTATTTAGTGTTTTCCATGTTTAATCTTTTCTCTCTTCGTTTTGTAACATATTTATATTTATCTTTATCTTTATCTTTCCATTGGATTGTTGTTTTTTGGAGCCGTTCTCATGAAAGAAACCCCAACCTTCTCCCTTTTGAGTTTCTTCAATATATCATTATATTGTTCTTTTTCTTTGATTTATCATAGTCATAGATAATATAAATCAGACTACTTACTTGGCATAGAGATCTTATACTTCTGATTCTTCTTCCAAGAGAGGAACTTTTTCGTCTGAAGAATCAAGTCTATCGATATTATGGCGTTTATGTAATTCATCACCTTCTCTAACATGTCCCCACATTATAGTATAATACCCCATTCCGGTTATAACTGCTCCTATCACACTGTACATGATTGTTATACCCTGTTTTGGTCGAGGAATTATGTTAAAAGCGAAGAAATCAAAGTTTAATTAAGGTACTTGCCTTCCATAGCGAAGAGAATTTGTAAAGAAACCAACACCGAAAGCATTTGCAAACACAATACCAAAGGGTTTGAACATGGGCACATACAAAGGGCCCTTCATCTGTGTACACGAGATGTGGACACTGCTACGGATTATACTCGTAAAGATTGCCTGTAAAACACAGTATTTGTACAGCAATATTCTTAATTTCTTGTTGAAAGTAAAAATCTACGATTGAAATTCAATTTAATATGCACTTACTGTTGCAATAATGAGAAGGAGATCAAGGTTTAGCTTTAATTTCCAGGCATCAAGGTCTCTTTCCACAATCAGGGAGAATATTGCGCATTGGATAGTTCCAGCTAAGCTATAAAAGGAGACTACTTTCATCACTTGGGGATACTGTCTGATGGTTCCAAGCTGAGAAAATCAAAAATTACAATTGTGTGAGTTTCAAAGAAAGAGAAGCGAATAATATTTAATAAATCATATTACCTGAATAATATTCCATATACAAATAGATAAAGAAGAAGCTAAAAGCAAGATGCCACCAATAAGCCAACGGTCTGGTGTTGAGTAGAAAACAAAGAGGGATGGTTTTCGTGTTTGAAGTTGTTGGGAAGAAGCTTTTCTAATGTATGGTCCTTTGTATATTTCCACCACTATTGCCCCCATGATGGATATCAAGCTGCCAATCACTTTTACTCGAATATTTGTGCTTCCCAAATCTAGTTTTGTTTTCCTGCCACAATAAACCGCTCTGTAATCCGGGCCATGCCCATTTATGATTTTATGTGTTGGGTCCAGTCTCTGTAAATTGGGCTAAAGCCAGAAAAATTGACACTCAGACCATGATACTAAAAGTCAATATTTGCTGGCTTCAATCTTTCTTCAGCTTAAACATTTCTTTAAGAAAAAGGTTAAAAGTAAAAATTCAATCAAACTAAAGTTTGTTGTCTTGAAGTCTAGTTAAGATTTGAGCCTGAGCGGAGCAAAGCGATTTAATGGTTTTGGCCCACCTAACATTAAATTGTTACAACTAGAAGTGGACCATCTCACCATGATGTCCAATACCAACAAATTTAACCCTTTTTTTTTTTTAAAGAATTTTAAAATTCATCAAAGCATCTCAACAAATTTACAAGGAATCTTCCTTGAATATTTTTTTGAAAAGCTCTGTAACAAGGGGGTCGTAATAACTTTTCAGAATTAATCACAAATCTTCCAACACTTCACAGTAATAAATTAGGTAAATTAGTTATTCTATATTGTTTTTAATGATCAGGGTGTTCGAGTCAGTTTGCGTGCACTTCAATTAATCTTCAAGATTTATTAAACACCCTACAAATCCAATATTACAGGATAAGACACAAATATGATAGGTGATCCCAAGATGATTCGAACCCAGAAAAAATGACCTCAAAGTGGTTCGAACTCCTGGAGTCAATGAAAAGAGTAAACATTTTTTACTGTAAAACCAATCCCGTGTGGTTTAGTTATTCTATTTTGTCAAATAACAATATAAGAAAATCGTGTGCCCTATGAGTACCCAATAACATACTCATTTTCTTTATTATTATTGTTATTTTCCAATTATAAGTGTGATCCTTGCTTTATTAAAAATAAGGGTAGAATTCTTTTTAGTACAAGAGTCTTTGTCAGTGGTTATTCTTGATAAAGTAAAATATAAAAAAAAAGAATGAAGTTGAAGGGGAAAAAAAAAAAACCTCATAATGAATTGAAGCAGAAAGGAAATAGTAGGGATCATGAGGCCCATTTCACACACAACAATTGGCGAACTATAGGATAGTCCCAGGAATGCAAGGTTCTGAGCAATTGCTATCCTACAAATTACATGAACATATATATATATCAACCACAACTTAATGAATTTTGTATCAAAAACTAAACTTGATAAAGAAGAAGATAAGGGAGAGAAACCCACCCTGTTAAACCCAAGAAGAAGATCCGCAACAGAAGAGGAAAGCTGAAGATTGATTGTTCTATTCTGTATGAGTTTCGTGAAGAAGAAGAAGGGGTTATTATCTTATCGATATTATATATATGGATATGAACAAAAAGAGGGAAAGTGATGAAGGAACTTAATTACCTCTCCCTATGAAATAAAAAAGAATAAGGAAGAAGACTGATAGAGCCGAGAGCATTTGTGTAGACCACAAAAACAAAAGGGTTCATCCCTGCAGTAATGGCAGATTTCGCCAAAATGGTCAACCCTATAGTGCACCCCTCCATAATCACCATCACTGTAAATGGGAATGCCTCCGCCATCTTCGCTCTCTCCAACATCTCTATATATCTATATATTCAACTGCTCTTGCTCACACTGGATGATCATAAATAGAGAAACAACTGCAGGCTGAGACTGCTGACAAAATGAAGACTGAATCTAGGTATCTCCAGTATTTATAGTTGGAATAGAATCTCCAAATAAGAAGGGTAAAGAAATCCAGAGTAAGAGAGGCCTACTTCTACTTCTACAGAAAGAAAGAGAGAAGTTAGCTCTTCACAGAGGTGTGAAGCTACTCTAGAGAGAAAAAGCTACTCGAGTGACTCAATAATCTATGCACAAAAGGAGGTGAGGGGACGTGGCTTCATGTTATTACAGAAATAGGTTTCGTCTGTAAAAACTAATCAAATTCTTTCGTCTAATCTGTCCTCAATCAGGATCGGCATTATTAATTTACATTATTTGGCCAAGTTTAATGACTAATTAATCGAAAACTATGGCCCAAAACTCCATTTGTTTGGTAGTTTCTCTTCGAGGAGCATGATTTTGTGGCTAGCATTAACCAAGGCCCTACTGAAAAAAAGATTATTTTACAAGACTCTTAACCACCCACTGACGTCAAACTATAATAGTGACTCTAAAACCTGAAGCTTAATTTGTTTTGCATTACTGATACCCAAGTGTTTGGCTTGTTATATACTAAACATCATTATTAACAGATGGAATCGTACTTGTCTATGGCTGGACCCCAGTTTGTCTAAAGCTTTTCGTTTTACCTGCATGCGAAGCTTCAGTTGATATTCAAACAAATTCCATAAAAGTATCTCCCAAATGCTGATGATAAGATCATCACTCTCATTCTCAATACTGTTATTGTGACCTCTGGATTGAGATGCGGCTACTTGGAGAGGGGGAATCAATTTTGATGAGGAAAATGCAAGAGTGGACCCTTCGTTATGTGAAAGATAGAAAAGAGAGTGCTGTGTGCCTTTTCTATTGATAGCTGAACCAGGAAATTATTTACTGAACTGGCTTAGTTGGTAGTAACTTAGTTTATTGTTTAATGACATTTTCGTGATGTTTTGTTTATACAAATTAATGTTGGGTAATCTTGACATTCATAGATCACGCTTGACATGGTACTTGTTATTTTATTTGCGTATTTCTGCCTGACTTAATAGAATTGTTGTCACACGGGGACTTACTAAACAAAGCTGAGGAATTAGCATTTCAGTTGACATGAGAATTTCCACAGGTTTTATAACAAAAGAAACCATCAAATGGATAGCATTTTCCTGATATAGATTTCCCCTTATCAATAAAACCGTCTTATCCAGAATTACAACTACCATTCAAACCGTCCTCATAAATATTTTTAGGGTTTGAATTACAAGAATTCTAGCATTGATAAGATATGTAAGTACCTTTTCAACGGGCCTGTCAAACGTGCATACACTCATTTGGTCAAATCAATGGGATAATATAACAATGTATAATCCTTCATATTTTTAAAATTGAACTGAAAGAGATTCTCTATACATTTTTTTACATTATTTTAATTTAACTACTATCACAATAAGCTTGCAATCTTTCACTTTCCCAGGCACAAAGTTCAGTTATATGATAACTTGGAATGAAACAATAAAGGGGTTGGTAAGACAGCAGTGCCCTTTTAATGTCATAGTACCTTCTTCGATGGAGAGCTCAGGATGGTTTTGACCGACTCCATGTCCAAAGCTGAACTTTTCTTCCAAGTGTTAGAATATTAGATCGTGCCTCTCATGTCAAGATTGCATAGAAACAAATTCTTCATGCTACTCACACAGGCTTCATAGACTTCTTCCCTTCAGGTTTAAAAGAAACAAAAATATTATTATCAGAAGTTGAGCTTGAAATTGTCGGTATGGAATTAATTCTAATATAAACTTATGATGAATTTGACATGAATCATTACACAAGCAAGAGAAAGAAAAAAAATTCAATGCATTGACAAAAAAAATAATATAAAGAATACAATGACGTATAATATACTGAATTCCTTCAACAGTGCAAAAGGATATAAGACGAGCACTGATTGCCTCCTCATGCACAGAGGCGTCGGATAATAAAAGGCATTTCTTTTTTAATACTGCCTGTTGGTCCAATAATTAAAAAAGAAAAAGGAAAAATTTGCATACTTATACTTTTCCCAGGGAAAACTAATGTAATGCACACTTCAGATCCACACCTACACCAGTTTCTGATTGTTCAAGGAAAAGCATAGTTTAAATGAAAATTTTAGGTATTCAAAATTTTCTCTGCTAGTAAACAGCATTCAGGATTATGCACAAGGACTCCAAATAATGTTCAATGCCAGATGATAGGAGAAGCTAGTATAATAATCCTGTTATATGTCTATGAAATGTAATTATGTCTATGTCATATAATATTTTATGAATAATAGTCATAGCATTGTGATAAGTTCCAAAATTATATCATTTTTTAATTTACTCCGAAATTCTTAGGAACTATATCTAACTAAATGAAAATTCAACTCAATCAAACTTATACTATTCCAATACTGGTTAAGTCAGGCTTTAGTCTTTAACTTTGCCTTCAGCCAAATACATTTGGATATGCCATAAATTCGGACATACACTTCAGACATATATTGGTATGTCATCTGGAAATGGTTAAGAAAGCTAAGGCCATACTAAATCACTAGACTTGAAAGTTGGAATCAGTTTTAGGATCTCTTGACCTGAGTTTGTCAAACTTTTTCAAACAATAGTCCTGCTAAGGGCACTGAATTTCTACCATCTGGATTAATCATCAAACACAATGGATTCATTCAATTTCTGTTGCACATCCAAATGCACCTCGAGTTTGCACTCATATCCAGATGTCCACTGTTTCCTGCATTACTTAGTAGGTCTGACCTTGAGCAAAAACTAAGTCTATATTGACCCAACCAAGAAATTTTAAGATAAGAAAAGAGTAGCTTTTAAGATAAACTTACCAATTTTGTTTGGTAGGAAAAGCCTTTGGTTTTGATTTATGAATGAATCATGTCTTTTCAGTATCAATTTGCAAGAGAGGAGTCTTTTGGGGGTCAAAGCTTCTTACTCCAGTATCCACATATTCTTCTTTGGCTTTTCCCCACATCACAGAATAAAAACCAATGACAATTACAGCTGCTCCAATAAAACTGCATTACATTAAAATAGAATGGTGAATTGGTATGCCTTTTTGCATTCTATATAAATGAAGAGAGAGAACAAGAGGATAGTATGACAAAAAATTCTAATCTAACAAGGCAAACATAATCAATCAAAAAACCTTTTGGATCATAATGATTCAAAGCCCAAAAAGATGCACTACCTTCCAAGATATAAAGTATCCCCTGAGAAGATGACACCCACGGCAGCTGCAATTACAATACCTAGGGGCTTGAACATAGAAACAAATACAGGCCCAGTCCGGTGGAGGCACCAGGTAGAGATGCCAACTTGGAATGTAGAACCAAAAATACCCTACATTTTTCCTCATCACAGATTTAAGTCATTAAGTTCATATTATTTTAAGCATGTAAAGGGAAAACACAACTGTTTTCTTTTTCTATTTTCAAATCTACCCACCGAGTATAGGACAGCAATCAATCTTATATGATTTTTTAAGCTCCAAGCACCAGGGTTTCTATCAACAAACATACAGAGTATTGCAGATTGAAAGGCCACAAAGAAGCAGTAAAAAAAGACAACAATCAGCTCAGCTGGGAATTTCTTCAAGATTGATGCCTGGAAAATATGAAATACAAGATGATTATGTGGGTTTACAACTAACTTTTGATTTTTTTTATAACTTTTATGGAGTTAACCTGTACAATGAGCCATGTTGAAGCAAACAAACAATCAACAATAAGGAGCAATCCTCCAATAACCCAGTTTGATTGTTGCAAGAAAAGCTGAAGGGATGAGTTTGAAGTTGAGGGAGTCAACAGGAGTGGGGGCCCCTTGTAGTAAGTCATTGTAAATGCCCCTGTAATCAGCACAACTGCTCCCATTGATTTAGCTAAGCTACTGGAGCTTCTCCAATCTATTTTTTCCATCCTGAAAGCACCAAGCTGAAAAAATTTAGATTCATTTATAGCTATATTCATTCCAAGCAGAATTATCTGTCGGCTCCTGTTCCAGAATTTTGCTATCATATGCAAAATCGTCTACATCATTCCAAGCACATTTGTGAAGACCCAGGGGGGGTTGTTGGGACAGTTATAACAATTTGTATCGACACTTGACTTTCATCAAGAGACATCCTACCTCAATCTTGAGGGAAGGTGCTATACCTTCATGATGTCACAAGCACAACAGCCGCCTCCAAAAGTTCAGGAAAGAAACATATTAATGAAAAGAAGTCAACTAAAATGCATCAGTTTCAAAAATGATTCTACAGAACTAGGGTCATCTCAAATGACATACTTCATTTTCACAGTAGAGTCTTAAACTGGATCCAACACCAATCCTAAAGCATATGCAGACGCATCAAAGTTAATAAAAATTTATTAGCTGTCAAGCAGATCAAACAAGACTTCTTGAAATGATTTTTTTTACCCAATTTCCATATATACTAACAAGAAAAAGGATATAAAATTTTGGAAAAATAGACCCTTAAACCCTCCCTTGCCACCAGTGTGGCTGCCTTTTTCTTCATACAGCAAGCAAATATTTTGAACAGTCTTAGTATAGGAGGACCACAGACAATTGAGCTCCATAGCCTTCAATGTTCAATGGATTATAAATGCTGCTGGAAGATTTTCACACTCACACTCTTTATCTCATTAACTCAGAAGGGGGCGAGTGCAACATGCGTATCATAGGAAGATCCAAAAAAAGGGATGAAGTTGAGACCTGGTGATTCAAATAGTAAGAGGATTTGGCTTTCAGGAAGAGTATGGATAAGTCATAGGGTCAGAGGTGAAGAACAAGAGGTAATATTTTTCTTAAACCGTTTGTGTGGGCTAGGAGACCAATTTAGCTCCAGCTTGCCTTTGATTACACAAAAACAATAGGATTTCAGAAAATAGAGGCCCAGTACTCACTGATTCCTTGTAATAGGTTAAAAAGCCAAGCGTAAGTCCACCAGTAAATGAGAATATTGATCATTCCAACAGCTCGCTTAAAATGCCTTCACAAGATTGCACTTGCTGATCTATTGAAATGCAAAATCTGTTCCACATCAATGGATTAATGTCTCAAAGAATGCATACTATAAGAGGGAGATACTAGTTTTTCAGGATATACTAATTACTACTAGCATCCTACTCTCATACACATATCAGCGTGCAAAATTAATGCTTAACTGAAATATAGCTTAATCTCAAGTCTCATCTATAACTTCCGACACCATATTTGGATCCTGCAAACTCAGCCATGTAAAGTTTTGACAAAATTAAATCCCAGGAGAAATTATTAAATTCAAGCAATCATGTTCTTAGTTCTTCCGCATTTGCAGTACTGAACCACGCACACAGGTTAAGGAAAAAGGGAAAAGGAAACCATAGTGACAATAACATGGTCATCTATAGATTCACTTCTATGTATTTGTAGTTAATTAGAATTAGCAGTAGGAACATAAAGTAACCCAAACAATTGATTTCATTTACATAATTCAAATTCCTATGGCTTTTGCTCTTCTTTTTTTGCCTAGGAATTATAAATGAAATCACATTAAAAAATAAAAAGAAACAAAGGTAATTGCGAATTTAATTTACTAGAGGGATGATCACAATTAAAAGTTACCAAACTTAACAATAATAACAAAAGGGGAGCATCACCTGAAAATAATGGCAAGTACGAAGGTAAAACCCGGGATAAGATTAAGCATAGCCGTCGCAAGGGTAGGTGAGCTGTAGTAAATCCCAGCATACCCAAAAAATTGAGCAAAAGTACTGTAAAAAAACCAAACAAACATCACTCAGACCTACAACTAAAAGTATCCATTCTATTGAACATAAATTCCATGAAACAAGATAAGCCCAGTATAAGGGAAATGAATAAAAGAAGAAAAAAGATTGATTTAGCTGACCCCAGAAAGCCGAGCAGGAAGAAGCCGCCAAGGAGGGATGAAGTAAGGGGAGGACGTACTTGTGATCTGCAAAGAGAACAAGTGTTAAAAGAGAGAGAGAGAGAGAGAGAGAGAGAGAGAGAGAGAGAGAGAGAGAGGTTTGAATGCGTATATGTTAGAAAAGGAGAGAAAGAAGAGTGAACCTGTGGAAGAGAAAGGAAGAAGGAAGCAGAATGAGAGAGGCAAGTGAGTTAGAGTAGAAAACGAAGACCAAGCTGGTCATTCCATCAGAAATGGCTGCTTTTCCCGCTATCATTAACCCAACTTGAGCACACTCTGCCATCACCATTCCTACTACTACTCCTACATCAATCTTCCCCATCTTTGGCAACCACCAAACTCAGCTCACCCCGACGACTTGTTAGCTCACCCTTATCATTATGAATCGTCTTGTGATTCATTTGCTTTTGTCCTTTCTTGTCAAGTGTTGATTTTTTGAGTATTTTTTATATTTGGTTGTTTTGCAGTTTTCTAAAGAGTAAACGACCTTTTCTCACCCAAGGTTTGCCTCAATTACACTTTCCCACTCAAAATGTTTTGAAATACCATTTTTCTATCCAATGTTTATATTTTGTTAATACCCAAAATACACTTTACTTTCTCAGCCAGTATTTGATGAGTTGTCAGGAGCCAAGGTAAGAGAATTTTTATAGAGTAGAGGCTGATGGAACGAATGATGGTGACTGATTGAATATTCGCCATCAGAATCAGCTGACGACAAGAAACCTTAGCTTTGTGATGGCCGAAAATTGCGAGAAATCAGGTGTCAGAGTGAAATGAGTTTTGCAGAGAGGAGACTGGAGGTTTAAATGGTGATGACGAAGAGAATTTTTGCCTTTAGAATCGGCTAGAATCAGCTTTGGATAGTAACGAAATATTAACTTTGGATTGATATTTTAAAACTTTTTAGGTGGGAAAGTGTCATTAAGCAAACCTTGGGTGGGAAAAAAGTCGTTCACTATTTTCTAAATGAAATCCTTCCCATCCAATCTAATTTAAGATAATTATAGAGTTTATTTTTTTTTTTTTTTCTGATGATTGGAGTATTCGGACCAGATTACATGTATCTCAATAAATGTTATGGAGCTTTTAAACTATTGATCAGATAAGAACTCCAATAACTATCTCTATAAGCACTATAGAGTTAATTATCGACCCTCAAGTTTGATGAAATAAAAAGAAAAAAAATCCTTGAGTTTTATTAAATTAAAAAGAATTCCTCTATCATTAATAAATGAGTGATGTTAATGTTATTAGCCATTTACCTTTTATTTTAGCTATCTTTAATTATTATTTTCTTCTCAATTACAGTTTTTTTTTTTTAAATTATTAAATAAGACTAAAAAATATTTTATACAAAATTTATTTAGAATAAATCTTTTTCTATTAATTCATTTTTTTTTTTTTACATCATAAACCCTAAATTTATTTAAAATAATCAAGATGAATCAATTTGATCAATAACATATATGCATTAAAATTTTGAGGTTTATTTTATCATATTTCATTGTTTCCAACTTTCAATTGATTTGTGTATTTACACAATTTACGCAACTATTTATATGTTTGATTGATATGTTAAATGAATTATATATATATAACAAGGATTGTGAAAGTATAATATGAATAGTAAAAATATAAAAGTAAGGGTGAATTTATAAATGGACGGGGTTTATTTACATATTTAAATATGTTTAAAAATTTTAACGAGACAAAAATATAAATGGGGTTTATTAAGATAAATGATCGGGGGCTAATAACATCACTCTTAATAAATAGTTAGAATTAATGATATATTTACCTAATTATCTTTTTCATTTATTTGAACAACTAAAGTTTAATATAGGAGGATTTTTGTTATTTTAAAAAGTTCAGAAATTTTTTGTTATTTAATCAAATCTAAGGGGCATTATTGTAATTAACCATAATATATTATTCATATTTAATGTATGATTAAAAAAAATTAAAATCAAACAAATTTATATATAATTGTGGTTGTTTATTGATATAAAAATCAATAATATGTAATTTAGTAATTTAATGGTGATAGGGGAAGTGATAATTTAAGTTAAATCTTTTTTAGTCCCTATGGTTTCAGTTTATTACTTTAAGGACAATTGTTTCAAATATGTTAGTCGTTATCATTTCAAAATACTACTGTATTAGTCCTTACACTATTTGACTATTAAATTTATATTAAAATGACAAAAATACCCTCTTTTAAAGTTATTAAACATTAATATAAAATGTGTTAAGGCCAAAAATCGTCCTAAGCCTAAATGGAAAAATGGGTATAACAATGAGGAAAAGGCCAGGCCCAGTCTTAATGCGACCCAATCCAAAACTCACCGGATTAGGCCTAAGTGATACGAGGTATAGTCGGCCCAAACCGTCCGGACACAAGCCTCCTAGTCCCAATTCACTTCCTGGATCTATGAACGAATTCAAAGCCCATGGTCATCTACAGAGCACATTCCTATGTGAACCCTGGTAAAGTACTCCATTACCACCCCAACTCCCCCAAGGTCTGTGTCAGAGTCATACTTGGACTCCCTTTCACGCTAGGATAAGGGGATCAAAGGATATATCCCTGGAGGAAACAGATCGCTATGAGAACTCCCAATCCCACCAGGATTGGGAGACCAGACAGTCACTATTTAAACAGAGGTCAGCCATCTCACAAGGCAGATTACACTACACCTACAGACCCCAAAGTTCTAGCTTGAGAACTTCACATCACAGCCGTAGTCACAGTCCCCGACTAGACTTCTGGTAACTTTTCTATTCCCTAGCCCTCACTAAATCAGCCTTTCAGCCTTGCTGACTTGAGCATTGGAGTGTCTATGGCAAACACCACCCCGATGTTTTCCGTCGCTTCACGTGGGCAGGTACAGCAGATCGCTAGTGGCCTCAACCTCACGGGATCAGTCCCCCTTTCCGTATAGGTAGATTTTTATGTTTACAGTTTGGCGCCCACCGTGGGGCCTCTAGCAATCATCCGGTTCAACAAACCCTGCTACGTAAAGGAACTCTCCATGGCTGACAATTCTGACAACGCCAACCCTGGCCTTGAGGCCAAACTGGAAGCTCTGACTACCCTCATGCAGCAGAACTTAGATAAAGTGGCTAAACTGGAAGCTGAGAACACTGCCATCCGAACCGAAAATGCCTCCATCAGGGCCGAAAAGCAGTCTCTGAAAGAGAAGGTAAGTTAGTTTTATGACCTTGAGCTTCTGCCTTCTCACGTACCACCCAATCGATTTCGCGCCTCGGTTCCACCTATGCAATCTCTCTAAACCCTAGAGCCCAGATCCATAGCCTCAGATAAAAGGTCGCGTTAACTGTGTTCGTCGGCGATCGACGATTCGGTCTTGACTCATGGAGAAAAAGATTTTCCAGCGGAACCTCGCTCGGCCGAACCATCACAAGATCAAGGTGTTAAAGCGACAGAAAGCCCCCACCAACAAGAACCACCCATCATAGCCATCCCACCTTACCTCCAGTCAACCATCCCTACACAAAACCCATTCAGCTCGGCTCACCCTCGCGGGTCGAATGGCCACCCACATCAAACCATCTCGCTTGAGTCCATCCATCCTGACAGACCAAGCGAGTACCAACAACCCCCTTGACTATCCATGTAGGGCGAAACACTCGATTAGTTACAATGGGAGTCATCCAACCGGAGGGAGTGAACGTTGATCCAAGCTACCAGGGGATACACGAAGGAATGATCCACCAAGCAATACCACACGGAATGACCCAACAAAATTTCCCAAATGCAACGGCCGACCGAGTCAAACGGGATGACCTAGTGGTACTACCCTCTCCCACGAAACAGATTCTAGCCAAGAGGTTGGCCGATGTAGAGGCGGTGATGAGGTGCATACTAAGGATGTCGATCCCCACCAAGAAGAGCAGGCCCCACTACTACGCCGATTCGCCTTTTGAGATGCGATCGCCCTAGTTGACATGCCCCACAAATTTACCATCCTTGGCATGAAGCCCTGCGACGGCACAACCGACCCAGATGATCACATAGCCTTGTACAAGCAGCGAATGTTCACTGTTTCGATACCCCAAGCGCTGAGGGAAGCCTACATGTGTAAAAGTTTTAGTTTAAGCTTATCTGGTCCAGCACTGCAGTTGTACACCAATCTCCCGAACAGTTCCATTGACTTATTTGTTCAGCTCACCAACACCTTCGTGGAGCAGTTCGCCAGCAGCAAAAAACTCGAGAAACTATCAGCCGACCTATACAGAGTGTACCAGTGAAGGGGGGAGCCACTGAGAGACTATGTTAGCAGATTCAACAAAGAGAAAATTTCACCCCTTCTTGTAACCCGAGACAGCCATATATGCCTTCAGGAAGGGTCTCCTCCCGGATGAAGAATTGTACAAAGAGCTGACAAAGCTTGGCTGCACCACGATGGAGGACGCCTTGGCTAGAGCAGTGATTTAGATAAGGTGGGAAGAAGATGAGATGAATCGGGCAGTACACGCTAGGTATGACCCAAGGCGGAATGATAGAAGGCCAGAATTTAAGTCAATTGAACCCCGTCACCAGCCCCCTCCTCGTAACTAGAATAGAGTAAGAAAACCATATGACCGCCAGCCACGATATGACTGCTAGCCACAATATGACCACAAGCCACCTAGAGCCGACAACAGATAGGTCGGACCAAGCAGATACAAAATACCAGAATACAATCTCAACGTCGAACCAGCCCAAGTGGTGGCGATCATGAAAGGAATGGGATCTAGTGTTAAGTGGCCAGACAAGCTCAATGCCGAAGCAAGGAGAGACACAACCAAGTGGTGCGAGTTCCACGACGACCATGGACATGAAACCCCAGACTGTATTGCCCTGCGTTTAGAGGTCGCCGCATTATTGAAAAGGGGACAACTTCGAGATCTGTTGACGGATAAAGGGAAACACACCATCAGCTAGAAAAGCACTAAAGGAACATCTCCACCCCCGCGAGAGCCCACACCGAAAGGATTCTGCTCACTCATCTCTAGAGGGTCAGAAATCAGTGGGGTTAGCTACTCCTCAGCCAAATGCTATGCCAGAGCCAACAGTTACCATGAGATCCAGTCCATCTATCCAGCTTCTTGGTTACATTACCATCAGGTAATTCAGTTTGAAGATGATGAGCTGGTCACCCTGGCCGCTCCTCATCACGATGCTCTGGTCATCTCTCTGCAGATCGCCAACATCCTAATCAAAAGGGTATTCATAGACGGAGGGTCATCAGCGAACATTCTATTCCTTGCAACAGTGAAGGCTATGGGTCTGAAAGAAGAAAACATCAACAGAAGGTCGACCTTACTAGTTGGTTTTAGTTTTGAGTAGAAGTACACCATCGGAGTAAACAAACAAACCGTCTTTCTGGTGATAGACTGTCTTTCACCCTACAAT